TTTATCTGGGGGAAGGTAATAAGTGAAATGCAACAACACTGGGACACAGCTTATTCTTTGTATGGAATAAGTCTAATTGAAATCATGAGATCTACTACTAGTTGGCTAAGATCCAGTGCCTGCATGGCAGAATAATGACTAGTAATACCTAGAACTAATCAAGTCAGTGCAACCCCTAGTTTATATAATAAATTGTTTATCAAATTAGTCATTTTCCATGGGTTGGTTGATCCCTAAATGTGGATTCTGCCATATTTGCTTGGCTGCCTGCAGAAGAAAATGACTATCAAATTGCTGAAGCATCCGAAAGACCAATTCAAGGAGGAGGTCGAAACAGAAGACAAAGGCAGTGAATCAATGGATGTAGAGTAAGTAAATCATGAGTAAGTAGGTCAGTCCATTAGTTAAATGTGCAGATGTTCTTCAAAACTTCATTGGAGCATCATTACATTGACCGTAAGTCTGAGAGTAAAACACAGTTTTTGTCATAGACGGTTAGAAGTGAGATGTTTTGTCACAATGCAAAAATATGCTCTAAAACTGCAGCAGTTATTTTTATCCGCCTTTGAGAGTACTTGAAGCAAAAGTGAAAATGGAAGTTAAAGGTGCGGTATGTAATATTGATAGTTAGCGTTTGAAATGGGTATTGCAGTCTAAATTCAAAACTCAATGCTCACGTGGGTTGCCAGGTGCAACAAGGAACAAGCCTTACACTGAAAGATGATGGGTTGATTTATTTGCGTTTTAATATTCCTCTGGTCCTAGAGCTTTTTAGTTGGATTCTGAGGCTTTTTAGGTCAGGTAGAATCTGCAATCTCTCACCTAGTTCATTTGCTAGCTTCCATGGCTGCAATAGACTGTGTTTTCCGCCAAATGGCAACCCAGGGTGTCAATACAACTGGGTAAATTGGCAGTAAGCGGAATCACACGGATCAAAACAAAAACAGACATTCTGACACGGAACCACAGTTCTAAGTTGAATAACTGGCTGTTGTGTTGTTTTTCAGATAAACAAGTATGTGAACTTAGCATGTTTTCTAAATATCTGCAAACAAATTATGAAATTTTTATGCTTTAGCACAGTCAAATAATTGCATACAGCATCCAAGTAATTTAGTTTCGCAAATACAAAATATAGTATGGCTAACATAAAAGAATAGTTAAATTATTAGTTTAAAAAGCATTTCTAAAATATATCTGATATTGTCAAGCTTCTGCAATGTGATAATATAGAAACATCATGTAAACATCAATATATAATGATCATAATTATAATGTGTTTTTCATATATATATATAGTGTTACTTCAATAATACATCTTATTGAATCTTCGCCATGAAGAATGTTGTGTACAAACATTCGATTAAAAGGCTTGTCACACTTGATATGAATAGTTGTGTTTTTATGTTGTAATTAAAATGTATTGTACTAATTATCCATAAATGATGTATATTTGTTTTCTTTCAGTATAGATTTTTTTTTTTTAATGAAGTATTATGTTTTCCTGACATGTTATAACATAATAAATTATGACATTTTTTGACAATTTCTTGATCTTTAGCAAGCCAAACAAGGGAAAAGACCGAGTACGGAGCATAAGCAGGGAAAATAGTCAACGTAGGTATAGTCGAAGCAGAAGCCGGAGCCAAGACAGAAGCATGAGTTGCTACAGAAGTTCCAGTCCTGAGAGGAGGGACGGTCAATACAGATACAAACGCTGTCGGAGCAAAGAGCGTGGAGAGGGATACCGCCGGAGTCGCAGCAGAAGCAAAGAAAGGAGCAGCCAAAGTGCCAGGAAGAGAAGCTGCAGCCCTGCCGACACAAAGAGAGTTAAAAGCCCTGACAATGTAGAAGAACTATTGAGAAAAAGGAGAGAGCTAATGGAACTCAATGAGTTGATTGCACGTAAGAAAGCTATTGTCGCTATGGAGCAAAATGCAAAACAAATTGAACCTGAGGATGGAAAAAGTGGAGTTACAACATTTGATTATCAACATGTGCATCATGAGAACATTTGGATGCCTGACCTAAAACCAGTGAAGTCCATCTTGAAGAAGCAGTCTGAACCTCACACTGATTCTCAATCTCAGGTTTGCTTCTACTTGGACTCCTAGGTTTTGATTTATATTTAATTTTCTTCTGCATATCTCACGGTCTCTTTTATCTTCTCTAAGGCATCTACAAGCAAGGAAACTGCTGCTTTTTTTGTAAAGAGTCAGAGTCAAAAGATGCAAATAGGATACCCCCAACAGACTTGTGCTTTTGGCTCAAATACACCTGGCTGCTCAACGTTTGAAAGTACTGCTGAGAGGACTTTGACCACTGCATCTTTAACTCCGATTCAGGATCCAGAATTTGTGAGAAAAAAGAAGCAAATAGAAGATCTCAGTGAGTCCATAGCACGCAAAAAAGCGATAACTGCCATTGAACAGAAGGTCAAAGTTGTTCGGGAAATGCCTGAAATGGAAACGGAATACAAGTTTGACTCTCACACAGAGAACCAATTTGTAATGTCTAAAGGGAACTTATGGAGCTGCGAAATAAAACCTACTATTCAACTGAAAAAGTCAATTTTGAAGAAATGCTCAGGGATTCTGTCTCAGGTTTGTTCATTGTAATTGTATGGATTAGCTCTCCTTGGTGAGCTTTTTTGCTTTTTTAAACATGTTGCTGGTAGTTGCTTAGATTCTGAACCTCACCAGCTATGGTGGTCTTCCAGGTCACCAAGGTTGCAAGGTTGACCCATCCATCTACAGTCCATCAGATTGATCATAAAATGGCTAGTTTGGACCATCTAGAAAACGTATCGAACCAGCTACCACCTGAAGCTGGTTTTAGCTGGATGTCACAGCTAGGCATGGGCTGGTATGCTATTTTGACGGTATGATAACCTTAAGCAAAAATATCACAGTATCACGGTATTGTCGTTACAGCTCTAAAATGTGTTATTTTTAAATCACTGGGTAAAAAAACCCCCAAAAACATTTTTCCTCTGAACACAATATATTTTGTTTTTGAGCGACAGAATATTAGTAACAGTAGTATTTGTTTATTTTTTTCTTTGATTTGTTTCCTAAAAAGAAAAATAAAGACGGACATCTTTATTTAACCTAAATCTGTAATTACAGTTATTTCATTTGTTATATAATTCATATACATATCATTTAGTTATATAATTTCATATAACATAATTTGATTTAATAACCCAATTTGAAGCAAAAACCGAATGTTCTGACTAGCTTTGTGAAATTATACTACATGCCTGAACGAAGCAGAAGTTCTGAATGAGATGCAGATTCACTCTCTGACAGCAGGAGGCGCTTCTGGAACGGCAGATACAGCATTTCCTTAGTTACCGCTGTAAACAAAGAAGCACTGTGCTGAAACACTGCTTTAATATGAACTATACAGAGACGAGATGAAAATAAAATACCACGTAAACTTTTCTGAAGACTGCATTGCAACGATTGTATTGCAACGCAATTTGTGCAAGTCCAGAACAGAGACGAGTTGCTTGCAATAAGACAAAAACCGGCCGGTTGCCGATCGCGTAAGTTCCAGGGACAGCTCTTTAAGTTCGTCCATCCTGCACACACGTGACTGACCGCTCGCTCGCACCAACAGGAGGAGGAGGGTCGTGTTACTCTCTATACTTCACTCAACCTGAGGGATTCCTACACTTTCAGTCTTTGAGGAGACATGAAAAACCCCGCATACCGCAGGAATGGTATAATGGAAAATATTAGCGGTTTTGAAACCGTGAAATTTTCAAATCACAGTATACCTTGATACCGGTAATCGGCCCATGCCTAGTCCCAGCAGGGCTATAAAAATACAATTTTAAAAAAATTGCTTTGCCATCTGACTGAACGGTTCTGAGCATGGGTAGTATGGTACCAGCAGCATTTCCAGCACAGTTCAATATGGTACATTTACCACACTTCTCAGCGTGGTTAGTGTATTTAACTCTTTACAGAGGAACTGTGTTGATGGAAATGCTTTATTGGCCATGTACACCATAATGGAAACTGGATCCATGTAACCTTTCAGCTCAATGGTAGAAAAGCGCTTTTGGAAGCCAGAGTGTGCACAGTGTTTCAAGGACAAGCTACCTGTCACTACAGTAATTTGTGAATTTTTTTTTGTATTTATTGCATTTTTTGCTTTGCAGAGTGACACAACCTCAGTTGATGAATATGGTCAGCCAAGTCAGGATGATGATTCTTTTACAAAACCACCTTCTCAGACAGCAGCTTTGCCATTTAACAGGTCCTCAAATCCACAACCCATTCATCCTGGTACTTTGGGATTATTCAACCGGATCATGAATGAGTCTTCAACAGCCTCACAAATGACTGAAACACCCCTTTTTAACAAGCCAGTTATCCCACAGTCACTCATGCAGGCGTCCAGTTCAAGGTCTTTACATGACCTGAAAATTTCCAACGTGTCTAAAGGTAACAATTCTCAGGAAGACCAACACAGGGCATCATCTCGCCTGCCTCATGACCATCCCCCGAGCAGTAACCCTTCGAGTCAGACTTCACCATCAGATCCAAAGCGCAATCTTCCAACTCAAATGGAGCGCTTCCTTAGTGCTCTCAACAAGGCCGACACCAGTGTTGTTAACTCATTGTTTCAAGAGGCTAGAAAAGATCTGGCTCTAATGAAAACCCAGAAACCCACACAACCACAATTAGATAGAAGCATACCCTTCATGGACGAAATATACGATCCTTTTAAAGAAGATGAAGACAATTACCAGCCTTCCCTAATGCGAAAACAACCTGGCAGAGAACGAGTAAACACTGAAACCCATTTGAGTAACCCCAGTAAAGATGACCTCTTGCCTCATGAAAGAACTGTTCAGGAAAGTAGTGGCTTTTCTCGGCTTTTTGGAATGAGGTATGGTGTAGACCCTACTGCAAAAGCGGAGAAGAAAAGTCTGTATGGGCATCCGATGGTTTCAGAAAATTGGAGTGCACATAAAGAAGGTCCAAATCAGTTCTCTGGGCCATGGAATCAGTATGAAGAGGGAACTAATCTGTGTGCAACAGAACACAAACATTACACTGATGATGGCAGTCTGTATAGGGACCGTAGTCGGTCTGTTGAGTACCAGAAAGTCAATCCAAATGTCCAGCACTCCTACGTAGAGGACAGAGAGATGCCTGATAGTAACTTTGACAAAAGCTTAGCTTGTCAGGTGTCTCAAGAAAGCAGTGAGGATAAAGTCAGAAAGTCAGAGAACTTTGAAAAAATTCAGAGTCTTCTTCAAACAATAGGACTTCATCTAGACACAGCAGAGGTTAGCAAATTGGCAGACAGGACACAAGAGCGATTGTATGGTAAGATGAGAAAACCTCAAACCTCAAAATCTCACTCTTTTGAACAGAAAAGGGAGCAATCAGTGAGTCAAACTGAGCAAAGAGGTAGTAGTAGTAGGGCAGATTCTTCAGACTCCGAAAGCTTCCGATCTGTTTCCCCAGCTCAGTCCTCAAGTCGAAAGGTTTACATGAGCTATAAGGACTCAGTAAAATACAAAGACCAGCACAAAGTGGAAGACGTAGACCTAACTAGGATTAAGAGAACTGTAGTGAATTTGAAACCAGCAACCGACGAACAAGACCCTTACAAACCTGAGCTGACCGCAGTTTCTCAAGCTTCGTACCCACCAGTGACCATTGCAACCACTGTTCAGCCTGACGGTTCCCAGTATGTCCAAAACTCCACTGTTTCCACCTTTTCAGCTTCACAATATTCGCAATATCAAAGTAGTGATCAACATGTTTGGGGTTCTGTGGTCCCTGGTCTGTACCCTTATGGCACTGTACCTTCATCTCCTTATGCTATTGGTCACCAAGCAATGGCGCCACATATAATGCCTGCTTATAGTTCGTACCCTGCACAAATGGCCAATCCATATTGTGTACTTCCTCCACTCTCCATGCCACATCCCTATGGTCCTCTATCTACCCTCAACCCTCTCCACCTCTCCGCAATGGCCTCTGCTTACACTAACCAAGCGGCTAGTCAAATCCCAACTGAATCTATAAATACAACGCCTGTTAGGTGCCTAAAAAAAATAAAAACCGTTCCAACAGTTAAAGCAGGGCCTGCTACCATAACAGAAGATGACATCAAGGCTAGGCAGAAGATACGGGTATGACATCTTTCTTCAAACTTCTCACATGTGGAATTCTTTGTCCAGTGATTCTTAATATCCATGTTATACTTAATTTTATACTCAAGTCATACTTTGTAGTTCTGTGATGTGGCAAATATCAGAAGCTATCCAAGGACAATTGCTATGAGCTTATTGTCTTCAGCTTATGAGTGCATCTGTAACATTCTGAACCTGTGATAAATCTACTGATTGTTTTAGCACCATTTTGTTTGTACTTATATAATTGTGCTCTGGCAGCTTGAACAGTTTAACCAGAGAATGAAGCTGAAGAAAGAGCAGCAAATGGAAGCCCAGCGTTCACGTGGACAAAATCGGAATTCAGCTCCAGGTATTATTATTTCCAGAGTCTTTAGGTTCAGGCATTTATTGACTTCAGGTGCAATTACCTGTTTAGTTTGCTTATTATTTTGCCTTGCAAACAGGATTATTACCAACATTTTACAACCTTTGTTTCAAAAAAAAAAAGTGATTCAGGTTGTTCACAGATCATAACGGGGACAGTATCAGATCTTGATTTAACTTTTAAAGAAATCTATTCCTTTGTCATGAGATGAGGAAACAGCATTTTTGGTATGAAGATGAATGGGTTATTTTTGAATAGCCGACCTTGAAAGTAGAATCTAGGTTAATTTGTGAAGACAGTGGTAATAGTTTTTAATGAGTGATTTTGTTCTAAAATATTGCATTTATTTAGAGAGCAAGCAGGAAACTTACACCATCTCTACACTGGATGTATGTAACATTTGGGGCACATTAAAAATAGATTTGTTGCAATATGTTCAGTGGCACTGTTTACACAACTAATGTGTCCATTACAGAATGTAGGGATGCATTTTCCATTGACAGTTGTCCCATTTCTCTTCTTTTGATGTATTGTAGATGTGTTCCTTGCACTATTTTTTTCACTTTTTTAAAAATTATTTATTTATTATTTTAACTAAGTTTCAGTCACACTTTTAGTTTTTAATTTTCACCTTGCGAAAACCAGTAATTTAATTTGGAATTCAAATGCGAAAGATTCATCGCATTGACCAACAGAAAGCTGCTTGGTTTTAAAGTGACTTCTACACTATTGATAATAGACAACTGACTTTTTTCCCCCTGCAAAATTTTACGCTCACTAATGTAAGCACGCCTTTACTTAAAGTGCCCCTATTATGCCATTTTTATGGTTCCTAATATTGTTTTGGGAGTCTCCTACAATAGGATTACATGCATGCAAGGTCAAAAAACGCTTTCGTTTTCTCAAAATATGCATTTAATATCACCTCATTGTCCAGCGATTCTCAAACGATTCGTTCAAAGATTCCGTCTCTCTAAACCCCTCCTTTCCGTGAGCCTGTTCTGCTCTGATTGGTCAGCTGGCCCAGTCTGTTGTGATTGGTCTACGGCGTACAGCGTGTGTCGGAAACGATACTCCTATTGCCATAGTTCCACATTTTGAACACTCTATAGAAAATATAAACATCTATTATTTATCATACTTTCAGGTTGTGATTCAGTGGAGCAGCTATTCTAAATAAACTGTGAACTGAGCCATCTTTCAAGAGCAAGTGTATTGTGAATCCCGCGTTGAACTCCCCGAAATTAGAGAAGCAGTCGTCAGTAGAATGATGTTTGTGGGCGGGGTCAAGTTGTTTGCGGCCAGCCAACGTAGAACATAGGCGCGCATTATGCAAATGTGTTACCCCGTGACGTGTAGCCATCACGGAAGTGGGATTCAAATTACTAACGACTCGTTTCAGCTGTTCAGAGTCAATTCTTTATTTTGGGAGACAATAACTTTATTTATCGTGCAACATTTACGTTTACATTCACATACAGCTACATTAGACACTGATTGAAAGGCAATATTGGAAATGGCATAATAGGGACACTTTAAAGTTGTGGTTTGGTGATTTCGATCCCTAGGTTTATGCAGCTGTAGCAAAAGTAGCATTATGGAAAAAATAATTGCTATTCTAAAATAACTCATGCTAAATAAATTTTTACACTACTAGATTTCTGTTGAAAATAAATTGGGATTTACCTCTGATTTAGAGTGTAGTTTGGGGCATCAGTTTCAACAGACAATCTCAAGTCAACTCAACGCCAGTCGCTTCCAGTGAAGACGTGTTCACACAAATTAATATATGCAGATCAGATGGTAGATGAGATAAATCCTACTTAAATCCATTTTATTCCTCATCAACTCGTTTTTTCCCAAATTAGATGAGGCTTGTCAGGATTAGGATCAGGTCTTCTGTTATAAACATCTCTTGGTAGGTCCTGAAATGATGTTAGATTATGGACCATCAAAGACTTTTTCATGTGGCCAAGCCTGTTGAGGTTAATGTACATTGTAACATATTTACAGGTAAAAGTATCCCCGATGAGATAAAGAATGTGTGGATATTTGGCCACTCTCTTGTGTTTTGGGCTGAGAAGAGGGCTACCTCCCCTGAGTATGGAATGCAGTTGGGCATGCACCCAGACTCAGTGCGCATCTGGTGGAAGGGCGTGCAGGGCATGACGTGGCAACAGCTTGTACCTTTGCTGCTCCAGCGTAAAGACAACTGGCCCAAACCTGATGTACTTATAATTCACTTGGGTGGAAATGACATAAGCACAACTGCTCCAGAGGCCTTTATTGAGACTGTGAAGAAAGACATGTCCTCACTGAAGAGCATATTCCCCAAATGCCGGTTGGTGTGGTCCAGCATTCTTTCACGGCAGTCCTGGAGGGGTACAGAAGCCAGCAAAGAAATGGACATTATCCGCATGGCCATTAATAAGAGCATATGTACAATTATGACAGAACTTGGTGGCTTTGCTTTGAGACACTGCAACATAACGCCCAGTTCAGGACTCTACAGGCCAGATGGGATTCACCTCTCTGGGAATGGTATCGATGTCTTCAATCTGAACATGCAGGCTTTTCTGGAGAAATGGGAGCGTAAGACTAATAAGACCGAGACATCTGACCCATCAGTTTGAGATGAGGAAATTCCTGTAACAGTCATTCGTTTTGTTCTGCTAAGGCGGATATCAGCTTGTACAGTGTCATTACATTCTTGTATATCCTTTGTTGTTGTTTTGTTACTCCAAAATGGATTGTTAAACAACCTGTGTAGAATTAAAGCAGATTTGTTTTCTATACATGCGTATTTTGGAAGAATGTGTTAGATTTTAGGTTTTACTTGTTCTGTTTTATTCATTCAGTTTAATGACAAAAACAAGAAAATTGAAATTATTCCATTTTAATACGGAATAAACTTTTCTTTATATCTGAGATCTCGTGTATGATATAAAGAATGTTCTCCACACCTCCACTTGCATGTTTTTAAGTGTGTTTTCATCAGGAAGCATGAGCCCCATTGAATGCTTTTTTCTATCATTAAATCTGATCCACAAATCAGCACAGGAAATGGCAAAAAGTTTCCAGTCAGTCTGGGTTGGTTAGTAACATATGACTTGTCCAAATACCCACACTTGCGGTCTTTGCACTTGACTACTTCTATGTCGTATTTCCTGTATTTGGTCCAAGTGTTCAAGTGAGCATGAAGACCACGTGTGTGTGTGTGTAGAACTTTTCAGTACCTGATGGGACACACTACAACATAGTGTTGAAAACTGCAAGTGTTTACAGAGTTTTATTTTTTATTTTCAATACTTTGCATTTTGAAATCAACTTCTAAATGTCTGTTCATTAGTCACTAAAACAGATGACACCATTTAATATCCGGTGCTTCTAATTAAGTGATAAAAAGCAGTTCCAAATGTTGTACAAAATAAATATACTAATCTTTGCAGCAATAAAACGTGTAGCACTTTTTTTTTTACTACCAAATTATATGTACTATCTTATTATTGATCATATTTATCTTACATTGGAAAGGTTTCCGTGACCTCTCTTGCGATCTTGGCAAAAAGTCTCACGATTTATTTCCAGAACATGATGCATGATGGGATACACTTAAGTCTTGAATACCGCTCCAGAGCGGTATTCGAGATAGTGTGGATTTAGTGGGTGTTAAGGGCACTGCGCTTTGGTATTTTTTAAGACCTGGGACAGTCTTGCGCACTTCCTGTCGAGCACACGCGCTCTCAGGTGGCCAAGACCTCAAGTGTGGGTATTTGGACAAGGGGAGAGTCTCTCAATAGTGCCAGTGACTTCTAATTCTTTAGATCCGTGAAATCCAAACAGGATATGTGTACCACAGGGAGTACTTGGGAAGATTTTGATTTTGTTTTTATTAGTTGTATTGTCGTGTTAAAATCTGTACCAATGACCATTTTTGCTTGTAGTTGATCTGTCATTTTTGTTGTGCTTCTATGGTATTTACATTCTACCTTAAAGAGTGTAAATGCTTATAAAAGAGAAATAATACTTTTTAGAAGAAATTGCCGGGAGTCTTGCTTAGTCATGGAAACAAAGCGACTTCATAAACAAAACAAAAAAAGATGCACCCATATTTATACTTTGCAGAATATATAAAAATAACATGGCTTACGTGTTTTTTTTTTTTTTTTTACATAGGCTCTAGGCAGATAATTTCCCGTTATTAATCACTTCCCAAAAGACTAGACTGCTTAAAGAGAGAGTTCAATCAAAAATGGAAATCATTAATTCCTCACCGTCATGTCGTTCCAAAACCGTGAGACCTTCGTTCATCTTCAGAACACAAATTAAGATATTTTTGATGAAATCCGAGAGCTTTCTGACGCTGCATAGACGGCAACGGAACTGACACGTTCAAGGCCTAGAAAGGTAGTAAGGACATCGTTAAAATAGTCCATGTGAAATCAGTGATTCCACCGTAATTTTATGAAGCTACGAGAATACTTTTTGTGCGCAAAGAAAACAAAGTTACTTTATTCAAAAATTTCTTCTCTTCCGTGTCAGTCTCTGCCGCCATTCAGGAGAGTATCACGCATGCGTGTGATGCTGCTAACACAGGAGCCGGCATTCTGCCGCTGTGACTTGTTAGCAGAAGACAACACACGCTGGACATAAAACAGTCTTTGTAAACGTGTGAAGATTTCGACAGAGGATGGCTTGCAATTTTTTGCCCAGCCTTACTTACAGATGATGAACAAAGAGCGATGGACATATGTCAGATCACAGGATCCTGCGTCAGCAGCATCACACGCATGCGTCCTGGTATTCTCATGAACGCGCAGTCTAAAGGGGTCATATGATGCGATTTCAAGTTTTCCTTTCTCTTTGGAGTGTTACAAGCTGTTCGTGAATAGATTAAGATCCCTAAAGTTGCAAAGACTAAAGTCTCAAACCTAAAGAGATATTCTTTATAAAAGTTAAGAGTCAACCACGCCTACCTAAAACGGCTCGTTCTAACACGCCCCCACATATCTACATCACTATGTGGGAAGACTTGCATAACGCCGCCCAAATGTTCACGCAAAGAAAGAAGGCGTAACTTTATTGTTGCTGCCACCGCCACCAGCATGTTGTGAAGGCACTGTGTGTTTTGTTGTTATAGCGAAACTACGTTGTTTGGTCTTCCAAAAGAGGACACGACTAGAAATCAGAGGTTAAGTTGTATTTACAACACTGTTCCAGGACACTTCAACCCAAATATTCAGATGTGTGCAGCGCATTTAGAGTAGGCTACAATGCCGGCTGTTCTGACTCACAGACTAAGTACGTTTTCATATTTAAAGAATTTGCCACTGACGATTCAAACGTGAGTTTTGAGCAGTGTAGAGTAGCGCTTGTTGTTTGTAATTTCTCCAATCACAAATGCAGACATGGTTTTATGTTTACGCGGCGCGATGCAACGCGTAAAAAGACAGTATAAGTCATTATAATCCGTAATTATGTCCCCACTGGATGCTACAAATGCCTCGTTTATAATGGGTTTTAATGTTTTTGTCTCATTTTTGTCTCATTTTGTCTCATTGCATCCCGGGACACGGGATCACAGTATGTTAAGGGGCGTAACATTTATGTCACACGCTTGAGGTATTCGGCCAATCACAACGCACTGGATAGCTGGCCAATCAGAGCACACCTCGCAAAATAATGTTCTTTTTAGCAACATCATATGACCCCTTTAAAGTCTATATTTTCATTACATCTTTCCTGGTACTGTTCAGTGTTGATGTGAAATACATGCAATGTTAACCTGTATTTGAATGTCCCTCTGCATGTCTCTGTTTTTCTTCCATGCAAATGTAATCGACTTGATGTCTAGTGGTTGCTTTTATGTAAGCCTGGAGAATGCAATGAACAAGAATCAGTAAGAGGGAACACTCACTGTGAAATCCTCCAGGTAAGTGGTTATTGTTGCTTAATGAATGTCATTTGAATTTGTAGATAATAATAATAATATGGACATTTTAGACTTATTAGAGCACTCAGAAGTTGCATCACATTTTAAACTGCAGTTAAATTTGTGAGCCTTTGTTGTAAATCAATAAGAGTTCATCTATAAAGTATATATCCATAATTATGGAAAACTTGAATATACATTTTTATTCTTTATAAAATGTAAGGGTCTGATTAAGGGAATTTGGTTCAGCATGGACTGCAGGGGTGATGACCAGTGTGGAAAGACGCACGTCCTGGACTCCTGTGCCTTAGATGTCGGCTATACAGAGTATGTCCAGAGGTTCTTATTCACTCAAGTCATCATAAACTGCCATGGCTTTCTTCTAGTACAAATGGAATTTCAGGATCAGATGAGGTAAGTAACCGAGAAACTCCTGCAGTGCCACATCTGATGGGCTGATGAGAAGTACTTCTACACCAGGCCTGGACTCATCAGATGTGTTATGTGACCTTTGCTTGGTGACTGGATTTATAGGCCTATCTGTGTGCCAGTATGATAGCAAAATGTATTGTTTGTTCCTTCTATTTAGAGGGAAAAAAATAGCTTTTATTGGAAAATGTAAAAAGTTATGAAAATATTAAATAAATGCATCCCTAAATATGTCATGTACCTTGTGCCTTTTTGTTGTTGTTGTTGAGTATTCTATTTGTTTTCAAATCTGATCTCAACACTCTTGATGAATACTCTATTTTTAATTTTGGCTCTATTTTTTATGTCAACATTTGTGAGATATAATCAGTTGAAACAGATTTGAGGTTAATTGATATTTTGTTTCTATGGAAAATAGTGATCTATAAGATTGTATTATGTTGATTTTTAAAGTCTTTTTGTGTTATTTTTATTTTGAAGTAAAAAGATATAATTAGATGCCCCACCCCAACCCAGAATTGGCACATAAGGATCCAACTGGCATGTTGTTACTAGTGATATCATAAAATGTAATGCTTATTGTCATAAAAGAGGTTATTATTCAGTATTTTCATGAATTAGATGTATATTTCAGACATCTTCGCTTTTCATTAAAACCTATAGGCTAATTAATTGAAATCATTCAATTTGCATTCATAGTGTTGTTATATTATGACATATCTTCAAGTAAAACGTGCAATTAAATATATAAACTAAACATATCACTGTATAGAAGTCATATAATACATTTAACTATTTGACTGGGATTCTGCGTTGTCTGTTATTGGTTATTCAATTATTCAACTAATTGTCGAGAAACAATTTTAAATAGAATATTTGATTTAGTATTTTACATTAATGACACTTTTAAAAATATGTAAATCTGAACAAGAATGCTATCATTCTAGGAATATCAAAACATTCTATGAATGTAGAAATCATTCTAATACGCGATTGGCTGCTCAGGAAACATTTATTGTTATCAATGTTGAAAACAATTGTGCTGCTTAACATTTTTGTGGAAACCGTTTTTTCCAGGAATCTTTGATTCATATAAAGTTCAAAAGAACTGTTTATTTGAAATATAAAACGTTGTAACATTACAAGTGTCTTGTACTGATACTTTTGATGTAATACGTAAAAGTATTATTTTTAAGACCATTTTGAAGGCTCAGGAAATCTTTGCAGGTGTTTTGAGTTGATTAGCTGATCGGCATGTCACCATATTCTAATTTGTTGAGATTAAAAGTGAGATTTAAGATTTTAAATGAGTGAGATTTAAAGGTTTTTGTTAAATGTGAGCCAAAATCATCACAATTAAAAGAACCAAGGACTTAAACTACTTCAGTCTGTGTGCACTGAATTTATTTAATGCACGAGTTTCACAATTTGAGTTGAATTACTGAAATAAATGAACTTTTCCACGACGTTCTAATTTATTGAGATGCACCTGTATAGTGTTGGGGATAACGTATTACAAGTAACGTGAGTTACGTAATCAGATTACTTTTTCAAGTAACTAGTAAAGTAACGCATTACTTTTTAATTTACAAGAGAATAACTGAGTTACTTTTTCCGAATAAGTAACGCCAGTTACTTTTTTTTTCCCCCAATGTATTGATTGACGTCAAGTAACTAGTAAAGTAACGCATTACTTTTTAATTTACAAGAGAATATCTGAGTTACTTTTTCCGAATAAGTAACGCATGTTAATTTTTATTTTTTTCTCCAATGTATTGACTGACAGCTCTCCTGTCCCCATGTTGAGAGAAATC